TAACACACCTCACAAAGATGAAAGATAAAGAGTCTCAAGGAATCAAGAGAAAAGAAACAAACAACACATAGGGGTGGCCTAATTCACCTGATGACAGTCTTCTCAACAGCAAACATATAGACCAAAAATGAGTGAGTGTCATGAGATTTTCATAGAGTAAAAGAAAACCCTGACAATCAAAAATACAGAACACATTGACAATAGCTAAATTGTGGAACCAACCTAGATATCCTTCAGTAGATAAATGGATAAAACAACTCTGATTATTTATACACACACATACACACACACACACACAATAGAATATTACTCACCATTAAAAGAACAAAATCATGGCTTTTTCAAGTAAATGAATGGAGTTGGAGAATATTATGCTAAAGGAAGAAAGCCAATCCCCAAAAACCAAAGGTCAAATGTTTTCTCTGATATGTGAATGCTGATCCATAACGGGGATGGGTGCAAAGAAAGCATGGGAGTAATGGAGGAACTTTATAGAGCAAAGGGGAGAAAGGGGAATGAAAGGAGCAGGTGTATAGGAAAGATGGTAGAATGAGATGGACATCATTACCATAAGTACACCTATGAAGACATGGATGTTGTGACACTACCTTGTGAACAACCAGAGACAAGAGAAATCATGAGCTATATGTGTACTATGAATTGAAATTCTTTCTGCTGTCATGTGTAACAAATTAGAATAAATAAATATTTTAAATACAGAACATAACAAAATTATCCTTTATAAACACAGGAAATATGAAGACATATACCAGACAGTCACCAGAAAAATTACCATAAAATATATAAATCCACTGCTGAGCATATATCCAAATATGATAAAATAAATAAAATCTGGATGTTAATGAGACAGGAGTACTGCCATTATCTAAAAAAATGGAATTGATGTAAGTGTCCATCAACTGATAAATGGATAAATAAAATAAATGTATGCAATGCAACACTTTTTAGGAAAAAAAGGAATAAAATCCATTCATTTACTATGTGAAATAACTCAAGAAAAGAAAGAAAGGTACTTTATAATCTTACTATATATTAAATCTGAAAGTGTTGATCATACAGAATTTGACTGGAATTGTGATTACTATAGGCTGGAGAGTGTAGGGGATAGAGATGAAAGGCTACAGATAGTAAATGAATAAGAGGTTTTGCTTAGATAAGAGCAAGAATTTCTGGTGCACCACTACACAGTAGGGTGACTGTAGAAAACAGTAAGAAACTACATTTCAAAAAGTCATAAGAAAGCATTTGGAAATTTTCAACAAAAAGAAATAAAGTGTGTGAGGAGACAAAGACAACACAATGTATACATACACCAGCACATCTCTTTACCCTTTAAAATGTACACTATTTGTGTTTTTAGGGATCCATTGAAATAAATTTAAGTGGAAAAAAAGAAGAATAATGGGAATATATGGGGGGGGAGATTATATAGTTTACATTGATGGATTCAGAAAAGTGCATTGGAAGGTAAATTTTATAACAATAGGAACAAGGAGACAAATAGAATTTTTTGAAGACAGAGACAACTTACAGTATATGGAAGATGGCAACAGAAGTGTGACAAAGAGCACACATGAATTATCTGAGCATCACTTAACACCCTGGGTGTACAATGAGGAAATCTGTTTACATTTGTGTGAATCCTGTACACCTTAGCTGTACAAAAGGAGAAGAATTATTTACAAAAGTGACTCAAAGTTATCATTGAGGTCAGAATGGGGGAAGAAAAGATCCCATGGATGACACATTTTTCAGAAACTTGAAACATTTTAGTCCCCACTTCTTGTGCAGCTCCACAAAGATAACAATATTATTTCCTTGAAATATATGTAGCCAGAACAACAACAACAACAACAACAACAAACCAAAACCCACACTTCTATAACATGGAAACTTTGGGTATATATTTTGAATAAGAAAACATGAAAGGAGACGCTCAAAATTGCCTTTATAACATGTTTCCTACATTAGGACTGGGCAGAAAGTTTAGATTATGTCTTCTTTGAAGACCTCTCTGTCTCATTTTTACCGTTTGCCAGTGAGAGGCATTTTAAACCATACTGGGCCTCTAATGACCACTCACCTTGTCCCCTGCCTTGATGGACAGGTCATGCTAACACCTCTGGCTTTCAAAGGTAACTTGGAAGTCCATTGGTAAAGTTTGCTCTTTGAGGCAGACACTTTGTGGACCACTGCCTGGGCAAACATAACATGTGATGGAGGCAATTCCATGTACTCAGGTGACACAGTTCTGTGACCTCAAAAGAATAGTAGGATTGTGGAGTGATAGACAAGGAGACAGGTGGACACAGAGATGAGGTTTCTGGACCCAACATTGAATACTGTATTTAATTTTTATGCTTCAATAAAGTCTCAGGTAGGTTTGCTTTGTTTTATGCCTCAAAACTCAGAGAAGAAATTTTCAATACAACTCAGAGGGAACAATGCCTGTCAATACTTTCAAGACTTGAAAAATTACCATTCTAGGTAAATTCTACTAATTTAGGCCTCTTCAGTAATGTTGAAGCCTTCGTAGTTTTTCCTCATGATTCAAGAAGAAGAACTACTCTGAACATATAATTGATAATTATTGTTCAAGCACTAGAGGTCCAGATGAACCAACCTCAACATTCAGACCTCTGGGATTTTGTGACTGTTGATTGGTCAAACTGAGTGAATAGGTTCAATATATCTCCTTAGTTTTTTTTTGTTGTTGTTTATGGGGTTTTGTTTTGGTTGTTGTTGTCATTGTTGTTACTAGAGATAAAACTCAAGGATACTTAAATACTGAGCCACATCCCAACCTCTTTTTTATATTTTGAGACACGTTCTCCCTGAGTTGCTTAGCATCTGGCTGTTGCTTGAGACTGGCTTTGAACTCACAATCCTCTTGTCTCATCCTCCTGAGAGTCACTGGGACTACAGAAATGTGCCAGAGCACCTATTGCACCTTAGTTTTATTTGAGAATGTATTTTGTATAAGCAAAATAGGTGCACATGATGGTAAACAATAAAATGATTGCATTATTTACCTCAACCATCTGGTAATGCAGATGAGAAAGAAAAATCATTTTTTATCTCCAAATTCCTTTATACCATTGATATTTTTATCAAAACTGATATGTATTTTTGCCAATATTACTAATGAGGATTTCTAAACCACTGATATAAGAAATGCCTACTTAGTTGAGGAACTATGTTGAACATACTAATGCCTACCTCTGGAATCAGGGGATCTGGGTTTACAGAACAATGTATCTACTCCTGAACCACAATTTGACTGTTCTATTTATATTTCATTAAATACAACAGAGTAATTTAACTCCTGAGAATAACAAGTGGGGATCATCTCTGGGTAGATGGTAGCTGACTCTAATTTGTACATCAAGTATTTTTAAAAGAAAATGTTTTGAGTTTTCAGGTTGTATGTTATTTCATTAAAAATGCCTAGAAAACAACAAATAATTAATATAGTTTTAAAGATAAATAAAAATATTGTTGAGTTTGCAAAAAACACTGCCCCTGAACACCTCAGGATCTCTGTTCAGCAAAATGACAGACATTCAATTGATGATCTCAGTATGTGTTCTGTATAAATTTTACTCTTCCATCTCTCAGGCTTATAACTGGATTAGGTCTCTCTGATCTGTGAATTACTATTCACAGAGGAGCAAAGGTGAAACCTTCATTGGTTAATCTGTTTTTTCATCTGAAATGCTTCCAATTTTCATTAGTGTAATTTATACAAAAGTTCTTTGTGAAGGTATGATACTGCAATAGAATGTTTTTCTTAGTCCAGTGCCAAAGAAAATGTGCCACATAACATTTCAACTGAAGAACACTACAATCAGATATTCCACTGAATTGCCTCGGAACTCAAAAGTAATGTTATTGTACCTCAATTGAGGCATTCTATATTGGGATCTAGTAACATACAATATACAATTAAATGAAAAAGAATTAGTGCTTTTGCAGACAACTTTCTGTATCTAATTGAGCCAGAAGTTTAATCAGGCATGCATAACTCATGATGGTGGTGGTGTTAAATCCTAGTATGGAGATGTTCTGAATGGAAACAGAATCCATAGAGAAAAAGTTCTGGCTGCATCCACAGGGAGAGCCTACATTAATGATTTCTGTTCTGGAGTCTGATCTTTACTGTTCCTGTCACTGCACACCAATATCCATAGCTGATTTTTATGATGCCCAGCAGGTCTCATACTCTGTAAAACATACCATGTGAAAGTATAATGATTTCAATTTGAAATTTTGTATTGTCATTGTGACTTTCCAAATAAGGTACATTGTCATCACTCCTCTGTAAAAAATGATATAAATTAAAAAGTCCTTGTAATCACAAATCCACACTAAATGCTAATATATCAGTTTCAGAGAAAAATTATACTGGGGAGAGGAAGATGGCAGCAAAGGGAGTGCATCACCCCAGTGTGCCGCGTCACTGAGTGGGAGAAAGACGAGGTAAAACGGCTGAAGGCTATCTTTGGGAATTTCCAGTGAAATTGAGGTGCTCCAGAATCTAGTGGACGGGTTTCCATTGCGCGAGGTTCGGCTGCGGGAGCCCGGTCAAGGGCGATTTCTCCGCGATTTCTCCACACAGAGGGTCGCATTGCCTGATCGGCAGAACACTCTGTAGCTGGAGTCTGCGGTGCTCACTGGGAAGCAGCGAGGCGCCGGAGCAGGGGTGCAGCGAGGAGGATTCTGGGTGCTCCTGCCAATGGTACGATGGCCGCGCTTAGGGCTGAGTTCCAGCTTTGAGACAGAGGAGAGAAGCGGTCCAGGTCGGTTCCTGACACCGGTCGGACCATGGAGGAGGACAGTAGCCACCATCTTGGAGAGATGATGTAATCATCCCTGTTCTCTACTGATCTCAGCTCATTCAGCTACAGAACAGGTGATTTCAGGCTGGTATTTGCCTGCGTCTCGAAGACAGATGGCTCAGGCTCAGGACTGGAGAACCTATGGCGAATACTCCTGGGGGCTTGTTCCTGGCAAGGCGTGCGCCGGGCTCTGAGCAGCAGGATTCTGGTCACTGGGGCAGCCTTAGCCCAGGGTTGGGGAACCTGCGGAGACTGCGTGTGGAGGCCAGCTCCAAGTGGAGCGTGTGCTGAGCTTGGGGTGGCTGGGTTCTGACTCCTGTAACAGTTTTGGCCCGGGGCTGGGGAGCTGGCGGGGAC